AACTTCCTGCAAAAATGTCTAAAGATTTTATCTTTCTATACTGCACATTCCATTTAATTTAGAATTTTCAGTTAATTACCTGCAGCTGCATACTGTGTGTGATTCAAGTTTAATTTACAGGGCAGGAGATAAAAACATCTAAAGAAAACACACTGTGCTGTAAGATCTGATAAAAAAATTAAAACCATTTTGTTTTCGTGCAAGTTGTTTGAGTGACAGCCAGGAGAGGTGTGACTAGGGCTGCATACACAGAAAGAAAAGTGATTTAACTCTTAAATGGAAGAGAATCGATCAGGGACATGATCTATACACTAAAACTGCTTCATTAAGTTAAAGTTGTTTTGGAGCTTAGAATGTGTTTTTAAGCTTTTGAGAAATAAAATGCATTTAGCATACCGAATTTTCGGTAACATTTTGCATTGACAGGTCATTCTGAGCATTAAGATCAGTTCATTCTAGAGGGGCCAGTCATCCAGGACTGATCAGCTCAAAGAATTAGACCGGATCAGCAAGAACTTGATTAAACTGAGACCATAATTAAACTCTGTACCCCACAACCACCAAGGCTTTCTTACACCAGCCTTATTGATAGACGCTCCCCTTGGATTGCTGGTTAAGGGCAGGAGTCAGTGTGCGTTAATATGAAGGTGCTGATATGAAGTGGCAACGTTAGTCCTCAGGACCCCCTACCAGTCCAGGGTTTAGGGATTACCTGGGTGTGTCTAAGGTGTTTTAAGGTGTTTTTTTTCTTTTTCTAGAGTCTAAGGTGTTTTTTTCCCTTTTTCTAAACACCTGAGACACACCCAGGTAATCCCCAAATCCTGGACTGGTAGGGGGTCCTGAGGACTGGGTTGAGAATCCCTGCCGTAAGGGATTGGCAGTCCATGAACCTGAAACATGGGGCAGAATCAGCCACTCCAGGAGGACAGATCAGGGGCAGACTCAGAGCGATGGGTTCTTGGAGATACCGCAAGGGATTGGCAGTCCGTGAACCTGAAACATGGGGCAGAATCAGCCACTCCAGGAGGACAGATCAGGGGCACACTCATAGCGATGGGTTCTTGCTGATACCGCAAGGGATTGGCAGTCCGTGAACCTGAAACATGGGGCAGAATCAGCCACTCCAGGAGGACAGATCAGGGGCAGACTCATAGCGATGGGTTCTTGGTGATAACCCTCTCTGGAAGAATTTACACCCTCAGCAGTGTGAGGTCAAAGTTGCTTTCAGCCAATCAGAACACAGCTCCACTTCATACCAAGGTAAGGAGAACACAACGGCTGCCTCCAGTCACTTGTAAAATAGCCCTGTACCCTGCCTTTCACACGTTGGTACTCCCATTGTATGTTCTCTGAACTAACCGAGCTGCTGACCTGACGGGTATCCTGGTCCCGAGATTGTTTGGCTATGAACCTGTACCACATGACACTAGTCAGATACGAGAATGCCAGAATAATCCTCAGTGGACCTGAAACATGGGGCAGACTCAGCCAGTCCAGGAGGACAGAGCAGTGGCAGACTCATAGCGATGGATTCTTGGTGATACCGCAAGGGATTGGCAGTCCGTGAACCTGAAACATGGGGCAGAATCAGCCACTCCAGGAGGACAGATCAGGGGCAGACTCATAGCGATGGGTTCTTGGTGATACCGCAAGGGATTGGCAGTCCGTGAACCTGAAACATGGGGCAGAATCAGCCACTCCAGGAGGACAGATCAGGGGCAGACTCAGAGCGATGGGTTCTTGGTGATACCGCAAGGGATTGGCAGTCCGTGAACCTGAAACATGGGGCAGAATCAGCCACTCCAGGAGGACAGATCAGGGGCAGACTCATAGCAATGGGTTCTTGGTGATACCGCAAGGGATTGGCAGTCCGTGAACCTGAAACATGGGGCAGATTCAGCCACTCCAGGAGGACAGAGCAGGGGCAGACTCATAGCGATGGGTTCTTGGTGATACCGCAAGGGATTGGCAGTCCGTGAACCTGAAACATGGGGCAGATTCAGCCACTCCAGGAGGACAGAGCAGCGGCAGACTCATAGCGATGGGTTCTTGGTGATACCGCAAGGGATTGGCAGTCCGTGAACCTGAAACATGGGGCAGACTCAGCCACTACAGTAGGACAGAGCAGCGGCATACTCAGAGCGATGGGTTCTTGGTGATACCGCAAGGGATTGGCAGTCCGTGAACCTGAAACATGGGGCAGAATCAGCCACTCCAGGAGGACAGATCAGGGGCAGACTCATAGCGATGGGTTCTTGGTGATACCGCAAGGGATTGGCAGTCCGTGAACCTGAAACATGGGGCAGAATCAGCCACTCCAGGAGGACAGAGCAGGGGCAGACTCATAGCGATGGGTTCTTGGTGATACCGCAAGGGATTGGCAGTCCGTGAACCTGAAACATGGGGCAGAATCAGCCACTCCAGGAGGACAGATCAGGGGCAGACTCAGAGCGATGGGTTCTTGGTGATACCGCAAGGGATTGGCAGTCCGTGAACCTGAAACATGGGGCAGAATCAGCCACTCCAGGAGGAGAGATCGGGGCAGACTCATAGCGATGGGTTCTTGGTGATACCGTAAGGCAGGGGTTCTCAACGTTAGTCCTCAGGACCCCCTACCAGTCCAGGATTTGGGGATTACCTGGGTGTGTCTCAGGTGTTTAGAAAAAGGGAAAAAAACACCTTAGACTCTAAGGTGTTTTTTTTTTTCTTTTTCTAGTCAAAGGTGTTTTTTTCCCTTTTTCTAAACACCTGAGACACACCCAGGTAATCCCCAAATCCTGGACTGGTAGGGGGTCCTGAGGACTGGGTTGAGAACCCCTGCCGTAAGGGATTGGCAGTCCGTGAACCTGAAACATGGGGCAGAATCATCCACTCCAGGAGGACAGAGCCGCGGCAGACTCAGAGCGATGGGTTCTTGGTGATACCGCAAGGGATTGGCAGTCCGTGAACCTGAAACATGGGGCAGAATCAGCCACTCCAGGAGGACAGATCAGGGGCAGACTCAGAGCGATGGGTTCTTGGAGATACCGCAAGGGATTGGCAGTCCGTGAACCTGAAACATGGGGCAGAATCAGCCACTCCAGGAGGACAGATCAGGGGCAGACTCATAGCGATGGGTTCTTGCTGATACCGCAAGGGATTGGCAGTCCGTGAACCTGAAACATGGGGCAGAATCAGCCACTCCAGGAGGACAGATCAGGGGCAGACTCATAGCGATGGGTTCTTGGTGATACCGCAAGGGATTGGCAGTCCGTGAACCTGAAACATGGGGCAGACTCAGCCACTCCAGGAGGACAGAGCAGGGGCAGACCAATAGCGATGGGTTCTTGGTGATACCGCAAGGGATTGGCAGTCCGTGAACCTGAAACATGGGGCAGAATCAGCCACTCCAGGAGGACAGAGCAGCGGCAGACTCAGAGCGATGGGTTCTTGGTGAATCCGCAAGGGAAGCTCAGTGTGTGAACTCTCGTTTCACCTCTACCTACATTTCTTAAAAATATTTTAAACAAACTATTCTAGGTGACAGTATTCATTCAACTATAAAGGTTTTAGTTATAGCAGCCTCTTCAAGTACCCAAATCCATCAAAACATTAGTGGTCCAGGATGTACCCAAAGACACTACATTAGTCCCATATGAAAACACCAGTTATAAGTAGAACCTGCCTTGTAAGGAAACAGAGACTACAAATTTGACTGCCTATGCAGTTTATCCACGTAATGCCGTAGAAAAGGTGCACGCCTTATGTACAAGATTTCTAGTGTTCTGTGAATATGCAATCCTTCCTGATCTCTGTTAAACGTCCCCCCCCACGTCTCTCCGTTAGAACCACACCCCTATTCCCGATCTGTTAAAACCCCCCCTCTTCCTGATCTCTCCGTTAGAAATACCCCCCCCATTCTCTCTATCTCTCCATTAGAAATACCCCCCATTCCCGATCTCTTCGTTAGAAATACCCCCCATTCCCGATCTCTTCGTTAGAAATACCCCCCATTCCCGATCTCTCCCTTTAGAAATACCCCCATTCCGATCTCTCCCATTAGAAATACCCCCCATTCTCGATCTCTCCCATTAGAAATACCCCCATTCCTGATCTCTCCGTTAGAAATACCGCCAATTCTCTATCGATCTGTTAGAAATATTCCCCATTCCTGATCCCTCAGTTAGAAATACCTCCCCATTCTCAATCTCTGTTAGTAATACCCCCCATTCTCAATCTGTTAGTAACACCCCCCTGATCTCTGTTAGAAATACCCCCCATTCCTGATCTCTCTGTTAGAAATACCCCCCATTCTCGACCTCTCAGTTAGAAATAGCCCCATTCTCAATCTGTTAGAAATACCCCCCATTCTCAATCTGTTAGAAATATCCTCCATGCTCGATTTCTGTTAGAAATATCCTCCATGCTCGATCTCTGTTAGAAATACCCCCATTTTCAATATCTCTGTTAGAATCTGCCCCCCCCACAGAGCTCACATTCTCCAATCACACCATTCACAATGTCCTTCCCTCGAGATGAAATCTTTCTTTACAAACTGTTATACCCCCCTGATCTCGCTGTTAGAAATACCCCCCATTCTCGACCTCTCAGAAATACCCCCCATTCTCGACCTCTCAGAAATACCCCCCATTCCTGATCTCTGTTAGAAATACCCCCATTCCTGATCTCTCTGTTAGAAATACCCCCATTCCTGATCTCTCTGTTAGAAATACCCCCATTCTCAATCTGTTAGAAATACCCCCCATTCTCAATCTCTGTTAGTAATACCCCCCTGATCTCGCTGTTAGAAATACCCCCCATTCTCGACCTCTCTGTTAGAAATACCCCCATTTTCGATCTCTCTGTTAGAATCTGCCCCCCCACAGAGCTCACATTCTCCAATCACACCATCCACAATGTCCTTCCCTCGAGATGAAATCTTTCTTTACAAACTGGAATAAAGCACTCAGTGGTCACGTTAAACTCTTTATTGGACAACAAAGCAAGCAGGGGCAGGGAGATCACTCCTCCTCTGGCAGGACCAGTTTGTCAGGGTCGTAGTAGTTGTAGTCGATGGGGGGAAGGCCCAGAGCCTCTCTCCTCTTCAGCTGTCGTTCTGCTTCTCTGCGAGCCCACTGTCTCATCCTGTCAGAGAGGAGGCAGAGGTGAGACTGAGACGGGGGAGGTGTGAACAAGGGGTGTTAAATAGGAAGAGACCCTTTCCTATAAGAAAAGGAAGGAAAATAAACAGGAGCTGTGGATAGAGAGATTAGCTCCATGGGTGCAGGAAGGGCCTGTAATCATCCTGAAAGGCTGACTACTGTCCACATTATTTGCAGGTGACTGTCCGTGGTCTGGGCTCACAACTATGTGTAATGCAGGTGGCTCTCTGGGCTCACAGTACACGAAGTGCACAGGCAGGCAGTTTATCTGCCATGTGGATCAGGGACCTCTAATGAGATCACGCCCAAACTGCGTAGCGAGTGCAATGTGTGGTGTTGGGGAGGGTGGGGTTGGGTGACGTCTGATGTTGTGGAGTATAACATGATGGCCAACACAGCATACTAACTTAGGGCAGCAAAGTCTAACACAGGGCAGGGTGATATTAGGGCAGTGGGGTCGTGTAACTCAGGGCAGGGTGATATTAGGGCAGCGGGGTCGTGTAACACAGGGTCGGGTGATATTAGGGCAGCGGGGTCATGTAACACAGGGCCGGGTGATATTAGGGCAGCGGGGTCATGTAACACAGGGCCGGGTGATATTAGGGCAGCGGGGTCGTGTAACACAGGGCCGGGTGATATTAGGGCAGCGTGACATTAGGGCAGCGGGGTCGTGTAACAGGGCAGGGTGATATTAGGGCAGCAGGAAGGTGTAACAAAGGGCAGGGTGATATTAGGGCAGCAGGAAGGTGTAACAAAGGGCAGGGTGATATTAGGGCAGCAGGAAGGTGTAACAAAGGGCAGGGTGATATTAGGGCAGCAGGAAGGTGTAACAAAGGGCAGGGTGATATTAGGGCAGCGGGAAGGTGTAACAAAGGGCAGGGTGAGATTAGGGCAGCGGGAGGGTGTAACATAGGGTGCGGCGTATAAAGCGGGGCAGGGTGCTATTAGGGCAGTGAGGTCGTGTAACACAGGGCAGGGTGATATTAGGGCAGCGGGGGGCGTGTAACAGGGCAGGGTGATATTAGGGCAGCAGGAAGGTGTAACAAAGGGCAGGGTGATATTAGGGCAGCAGGAAGGTGTAACAAAGGGCAGGGTGATATTAGGGCAGCGGGAAGGTGTAACAAAGGGCAGGGTGATATTAGGGCAGCGGGAAGGTGTAACAAAGGGCAGGGTGAGATTAGGGCAGCGGGAGGGTGTAACATAGGGTGCGGCGTATAAAGCGGGGCAGGGTGCTATTAGGGCAGTGAGGTCGTGTAACACAGGGCAGGGTGATATTAGGGTAGCGGGGCAGGGTGCTATTAGGGCAGTGAGGTCGTGTAACACAGGGCAGGGTGATATTAGGGTAGCGGGGGGCGTGTAACAGGACAGGGTGATATTAGGGCAGTGGGGTCATGTAACACAGGGCAGCAGGAGGGTGTAACACAGGGCAGAATGAGATTAGGGCAGCGGGAGGGTGTAACACAGGGCAGAATGAGATTAGGGCAGCGGGAGGGTGTAACACAGGGCAGGGTGAGATTAGGGCAGCGGGAGGGTGTAACACAGGGCAGGGTGAGATTAGGGCAGCGGGAGGGTGTAACACGGGGCAGGGTGAGATTAGGGCAGCGGGAGGGTGTAACACGGGGCAGGGTGAGATTAGGGCAGCGGGAGGGTGTAACATAGGGTGCGGCGTGTAAAGCGGGGCAGGGTGCTATTAGGGCAGTGAGGTCGTGTAACAGCGTTTGGCGTGCTGCATGACCCCTGCGCAGGGTGATATCAGGGCAGCGAGGGCATGTAACACGGGGCAGGGTTATATCAGGGATGCAGGAGAGTGGCGCAATACAACATACGATACAGCGTGAGATGCAAACTGTACGGCTGCTGTTTGCACAGTACAGTCTGCACGCTGGGAGGAGGGAGACGGCTGGATCAGGCTGCACTCTCTCTGCTCAGCGTTGAAATTAATAATTAATCTGAGCTCATTAAAAAGATCTCCCGCAGGAAGTGTGCGGACATGCTGGAGCCTGGCTTCCTGGGAGTGCAAGGGCCGCTCACCTGCTCTAATTACACTAATCACTCCCAGGACAAGTCCCCATGTCTCTATCATGATGGAAGTGACAGTGACAGTCCATCTGTCCCCGCTCTGGGGCGAACAGATCGAGCTCCTCAACAAGCAATTAGTTGCTATTTATAGAACCGCTGCAGCCACACAGGTCCATCGGGGAGTCTCCCTCCCCAGCTGGGGGCTCGGGACCGTCTGTCTCTGCCATTCTCACGGCACAGAAAGGACACAGAGCAAGTTCCTGTCAGAAGGAGACTTATGGCTGCAATATATTCGCCCTCAGACATGACAAAGTGACTGGGAAACTGAGGCTGAGGGAATATTCTGAGTAATGCGACCGTTTATTGCATTTACAGCAGAGAATGGGCAGGTGGGAGGATAGAAAGAAAACAAGCAAAGCTGGATACAGAGTGACAGTAGAGAGCAGGTCGGGGACAAGAGACAGAAAGCACAACGACAGAGAGCGGGAAGGGGACCGGAGACAGCGACAGAGGGCGGGAAGGGGACCGGAGACAGCGACAGAGGGCGGGAAGGGGACCGGAGACAGCGACAGAGGGCGGGAAGGGGACCGGAGACCGCGACAGAGAGCGACAACGGAGACAGAGCGGGAAGGGGAATAGAGACAGAGCGGGAAGGGGAATACAGAAAGGGACACAGAGCGACAACGAGTAGAGAAATGGAGAAGGGGAGAAAAAAAAGACAAATTGTAGAGAGAGAGGCGAGAAAAAGGACCGTGCCATGGGAGACAGATTGAGAAAGAGAAGGAGATATTAAAAGAACTCACCCGAGGTCTGGAAGGTAATGTATAAAGACTGAACCCAGTACCAAGCACACTGAAACCCCGAAGAAGAACACAAACCGCATATTCCATTTGTCCACAATGGGGTCTGTGTGGAAGCCATGCCAATCAGGGTTCTGCAACAAAAACAAACATAGTTGGGTATCAAGCAGAGAGAAATTGACAAAAGGAACAACAGGGGGCAGGTAACAGAACGTATTATAAAGACGGGGGGCTTATAGAGAGAAGGCGGGCAGGTAACAGAACGTATTATAAAGACGGGGGGCTTATGGAGAGAAAGCGGGCAGGTAACAGAACGTATTATGAAGACAGGGGGCTTATAGAGAGAAGGCGGGCAGGTAACAGAACGTATTATGAAGACGGGGGGCTTATAGAGAGAAGGCGGGCAGGTAACAGAACGTATTATGAAGACGGGGGGCTTATAGAGAGAAGGCGGGCAGGTAACAGAACGTATTATGAAGACGGGGGGCTTATGGAGAGAAAGCGGGCAGGTAACAGAACGTATTATGAAGACGGGGGGCTTATAGAGAGAAGGCGGGCAGGTAACACAATAGAATCAGCACAGAAGGATTTAAAATTAGCACTAAATACAATAGCTTTATATAGTCTGCTTTTTAGTTTGAAGTGTAAGCTCCTGGGGCAGACATGTGGTAGAGGCGCACACAAGACTTCAAAGCAGCGCACACTACGTTTTCATCACAACTATATCCAAGCAGAAAGGTGAGAGCAGCGTCTGAGCGGCCAACGAACAAAGGCAGAGCTGCTAATGAGGAGAAAGAGACAGAATAAAAGGAGAGCAGGGACAAAGACATGTACTGCGTGAAAGCAAGCACATCGTGAAGGAAAGACAAACACAGGAGTGAGGAGAAAAATACCAGAAAAGAAAATGGGGGAGGTAAAGGGGAGAGAAGAGGGGGGGGGGAGTGACAGAATTCAAGGTCTGCTGACTTGCAGAACACAACACATAGCGCCCTCTGCTGCAATAACATAGAACTGCAACTAGTCATTACAATGTGCACTGCCAATATCCTCAGACATCTCCAACACCCCAACACACACAGTGCCCCCTGCTGTCCTGACAGAGAACTACATCTATTACTGAATCATCCCTGGCAGCCTCCTACACACGTTGGAAAGAGCCTCTGACCCATTGATGCATATTAAGGTGGTGTACACACCATGCCAGTACGGTGTCACGTAATGAAGGGTGTGTGCCAGGTGTTTGAAATATACTGAATTCAAGGTGTTTTACCAACATATCAGAAATGTGGGTCAATGTCTCCCAGGAGAAGAGGATAGAATCCCTGCTAAAACACTGACCCACATTAATGAATCACTATCACACCGAGAGAGCTACCCCCAGGAAACTGGAAGATTTTATATAAATGGCACACTGAATATAGCCTATTTATATGGGGTTTAACGCTGGTTAGAAGGAGAGCAGCCTTACGGTGTGCAGGAGACATTATGATAGCAATAGAAAAGTTAAACCAAGGGGCTTTATGATAGTTGCCTACAATGTATTAACCGAGAGTTGTCCTGCATTCTGATATTGCTGTTAGCAAATAGGAGACTCACAATTCCAAGATTTAAAAAAGTATAATGGTCTAAGGAAATGGATGTCCAGGTAAATTATGGCAACAAATAAGCCTAAACCTTTGCAATCCAAAAATATACCTTGGCACTATAAAGTAAATAGGGATAAATCAACTAAACGGTTGCTTTGTATAAGAGACTATAGGGTGTGTGAGAGGTCCAACTTAGAACCTAATCAAATAGCAAGATAATAGTATATATTAGAATAAAGAGACATCCATCAACAGCTGATTGTACGTACTAGGTGGTTGGGATATAGTGGAGCAAACATAGAGAGTGATGCCTCCTGTAAAGTATAGTGCCAACCCGTCAGGTTTATTATAGACTGGAACCAAACAAAAGGGCAATAATTCTCATGCGTAATATGTCCACATCTCAAATTCCCCCCAGAACAACCATACACTGGAACTCGGCTTACACTTCGTAATCTATATGAACCCAGAGTCTTTGTCTCTGGTGTACTGTGAAAACTTGTAGATCGTATCTATGGTACTATCGGTCATCGGCTATGGTGGCTAGAGATTCCCTGAGACACCTTCATGGATGTCAATTAAGCTAAATAGTGACAAGGACCAATGAAAATAAAAAGGATCATCCATTCTCGCATGCTCATACTGTAAATGAATCCTACTGCCCTTTATTAGAAGCCATTATCACTTTGTGCCCGATATTCCATTCCAGCAGACAGTAGATCTCTTGGACCAGCACTCAGTGAGCACACACTGGCTCACACTTCGCAGAGCGCTCCAGGAGTCTGATGCTGGTGTCTGCCAATAAGTTACCCAGATAAACGTCAAGCTATCCTCATGGGAAATGTACCAAGATTAAATTAGCCAGTCTTCCCAAACTGTTACTATGGCAACCGCTTCCTCCATCCTCTGTCGTTTGGGACGGTCCCCAGAGTTAGATAGTTGTTCCCCCAGGCACAATGCTCTCTAGCTCGATAACGAGTGATACTTTCTATGCCATACAGAACAAGGTAGCAATAAATCGCTCTCAATGAGATTAACTAATGACGGCCAATGACTGCGCCCAGCACGACTATCTAATGTCATTTATTAGACCACGTAAGCCGGCATCGATTTTAAATTTAAATCACATTTCCCACAATTCCCCAGATTTCTAAACACAGCCATAGATTTTCTAGATCATATCTTTGCTATTGCTTACATGGGGGGAGGAAACCTGAAATCTAGTACACCATAGCATTGGGAGAATTACTGCTTGAAACAAAATTATATTCCCAGAGGAAAACCGCACGTTGCGAGAACTAGATTAATAACGAGCAAACAATTCTAATCCACTGCGCACAGTAAAACCTCTCTCAGAAGTTGAAGCATACTGCTCATTTTGATGTCAGTCACATCTTGGTTCTTTTTCACAAAATCGTTTTAAAACCATAAATCATCCATCCGTTCTTTTCATGTCAATCTCAGTGGTCCCTGTCCTAGAAACAGCCATGATTAGCATTACAGGATTACAGCCACTAGAGGCGCTAACGCTGCACTGGCCGATTAAACCTCGGTCACATGATGCGAACGCCCCCATGGGAAAGCACTGACTCAATGCTTGGGTAAGTTTGGATGTACACAAGCTCGCCAATGCTCCACTATGAGAAGCACCGGATTGGACATTGGAAGAGCAGGCCACACCTCCTGCGTGTGGTAACAAGAACCAGACAGGTGGGCAGCCTCAGAGCTGGAAAACGGTACATAAAAAGTTTAATTTTATTACTATTATTTTTTTTTTTAAAGTGGTGGGGACAGAGCAACCCACACTCACTCTCAGCTCGGAGTGGTAAAAATCACACGGCTCCAGCTTCCTCATATCAATTACACTGCGCAAAATTATAAAAAAAACGCAACACTTTTGTTTTTGCCCCCATTTTCCATGAGCTGAACTCGAAGATCTAAGACTTTTTCTATGTACACAAAAGGCCTATTTTTCTCAAATATTGTTCACAAATCTGTCTAAATCTGTTAGTGAGAACTTCTCCTTTGCCGAGATAATCCATCCACCTCACAGGTGTGGCATATCAAGACGCTGATTAGACAGAATGATTATTGCACAGGTGTGGCTTAGGCTGGCTACAATAAAAGGCCACTCTAAAATGGGCAGTTTTATCACACAGCACAATGCCACAGATGTCGCAAGTTTTGAGGGAACGTGCAACTGGAATGTCCACCAGAACTGTTGCCTGTGAATTAAATGTTCATTTCTTTACCATAAGCCATCTCCAAAGGTATTTCAGGCTCACATTCGATGGCATCTGGCACTTTGGAGAGGTGTTCTCTTCACGGATGAATCCCAGTTTTTACTGTACAGGGCAGATGGCGGACAGCGTGTACGGCATTGTGTGGGTGAGCGGTTTGCTGATGTCAACATTGTGGATTGAGTGGCCCATGGTGGTGGTGGTGGGTTATGGTATGGGCGTATGTTATGGACAATGAACACAGGTGCATTTTATTGATGGCATTTTGAATGCACATAGATACTCTGATGAGATCCTGAGGCCCATTGTTGTGCCATTCATCCACGACCATCACCTCATGTTGCAGCATGATAATGCACAGCCTCATGTCGCAAGTATCTGTACAAAATTCCTGGAAGCTGAGAACATCCTAGTTCTTGCATGGCCAGCATACTCACCGGACATGTCACCCATTGAGCATGTTTGGGATGCTCTGGATCGGCTTATACGACAGCGTCTTCCAGGTCCTGCCAATATCCAGCAACTTCACACAGCCATTGAAGAGGAGTGGACCAACATTCCACAGGCCACAATCAACTACCTGATCAACTCTATGCGAAGGAGATGTGTTGCACTGCATGAGACAAATGGTGGTCACACCAGATACTGACTGGTTTTCGGACCCCCCCAATACAATAAAACT